CTATACATGGGAGAAGACACACGTCTTCGCGATTTTGTTCAGGTGGTGATAATCGACGTAGAAACGTATAGGTTCCATCCTTATTCTTCACTAACAACACGGGGGACGGCCACAAACTCTTGAACGGCTGGACGATGTCATCACGTAGCATTTCGTCGACTTCTGTCTTTACCGCCTCACGTTCTCGCGTCCAAACCCCGTACGGACTCTGACAGAGTGGTCTGACATTTTCCTATGTTATGATGCGATGTTTTTACGACTGGGGTCTGCTGAATGTTTGACGACGACGAAAAGCAATCCTTGTATTGCAAGAGCAGGGTTTTTCAGCTGTTCTTGCTTAGGCTTCGGAAGGCCCGTATTCACGTCGAAAACTGAGGGTGGGGCTCGTTCTCAGGAGCAGGCTCCGCACGATCGGTGAAGGCGAAAGCACTGGTGGCTTCCTCAATTTCCTCGATGTATGCAACCATCGTGCCTTCATTCACGTGTTTGTACTGGTTGCTGAAATTCGTGAGCGTAACTTGCTTTGCCTTATATGCAGCTGGGTGATTCCTCTTGCGTCGCAAATATCGCGGGCGCCCACCAGATGCTGACGGCCTTCGACGACGCTTTCCAGGTCTGCTGATTTCGGAGTGCCGACTAAAGTAATGACGCTAGAGTGAGGCGGAATGGTGACTTGCTCTTCTAGCACATTCGAGGCGTGGTTCTCAGATGGCGTGCGTGGCGGTAGTTCTTCTTCTGTGGATAGTGTTATCGACTATGATCTCAGGTCCATGACTGCACCATGGTTGCAAAAGAAGTCCATATCAAGTGTGACCTCTCTCGAGCAAAGCTGTAGGACTACGAAGCTAGCGGGATAAATCCGGCTGTTAATTGTGACTCTGGTTGCGCAGATTCCTGCCAGCGTTAGGTGACCTCCAGCTGTGCGGATTTCGGGGCCTTCCCAAGCAGTCCTAACTTTCTTCAACCTCGCCGCGAACCACCCACTGGCGACGGAATAGTCGGCTCCAGTATCGACGAGAGCGGTGACTGTGTGGCCGTCGATGAGAACATCGAGGTCGCTTCAGTTCGTCGCCTTGCGTTGCAGTTAGGGTGTGGCGTCGGATCGCGGCTACGACGGTCTGTGCCAATGCTTCAGCACGGCGTCGTTAGGTCTCCTTCTGGCCGGGAAGTTTCGACTTCAGGACTCTGTCCGGATTGCGGCGTGTTTACGTTTCGTCGCGTAGTCGCCAGCGGCGGTGTCGGAGGGTCCTCGGTAGTTGGTCGTACAGCAACCACACCTCCAACGGTTGCTGCCCTTAGTTTTCCGAATATGGGCTGCTGTACTGCTATCCGTCATGACGGGACCGATAGAGTACAGGTGATGCCGAACGGGATGAGCGTCGAGGTGCCCGTTATTTGGTGGTCAGGTAGTCAGCGATGTCGCGTGGTTGCTCGCCGTGCTGTGGGGAAGGTACGTTGACGACGAAGCTGCCTAGGCCCATTTGGCGGTACTGGTAGCGGCGGTATGTGTGGCTAGCTTCTCCGCAGTGGTATCAGAGTGGGCGGCTGTCAGGGGCGCGCCAGACGTCGGTCTTCCTCAGTGCGTAGCGCTGGGAGGCTGGTAGCTGGTATGTCGTTGGTGTAGGTGGCAGTGGTGTCTGACGACGAAAGTGCGACGGCGCGGCCTTTTGACGTGGACGTGGGGTGGAGCGTAGCGTCGGACTACGGCAGCGTAGCTCCTCGTTTGCGGCTGAGGCTGCAGTGCTTCGGAAGCTCCAAGCGATTGCGGAACTTATTCGCGGACAATGTCTGCAGTCGAGCACACTTGGGGGTGCGACGCAGCCCCAAGTGTGATCGACTGTAGGATCGCTTCCACGTATGTAGTCGGAGCCGAGGGCGTGAACAGCTGCGCTGTCTTCCATCGATCGGCGATCGTACTGGCGGGTACGCATTGCCAGCGTCTTCTCGATTGCCGTTGCCTTTGAGACAAACCCTTGGACTGTTTTGGGCAATTTCTGCACCAGCCCTTCGAACAGGTCTTGCTTTACTCCTCGCATGAGCAAACGGACCTTCTTCTCCTCGGTCATGTCAGGGTCGGTGTGGCGGAACAGACGAATCATCCCTTCCGCAAAGATTGTGACACTTTCGTTCTGAAGCTGTGCCTGTGTTTACAGCAAAGTAGCGGCTTTTAGGGGCGAAGCTTTTGAAAGCGGCACCCGTTCGTCCCTCGTAATAGTGCGTAACATGTCTCACGCTTTGACCTGCAAGGTGGTGCCGGTGGGAGATTTCTCCTGTGCGTTGTTGAACAATGAAAAATTGCAGCGTGCGCGATAACTAAAAGCCGAATTCTCCTGTCTCTCATTCCCCATTAGCAGCCATTGGCATGTACATTGAGCACTATCTGACAAAAAAGGACGTTATACTCGCTATGCGTAACCTCCTTGGTTTTAGAAACGTTTAGCGAGCGTTGGGCCGCACTGCCATGAATAGAGTGAACTAGTATATACAATGAACTCGAGGTGGTTAAAGGTGGGAAGTAGACACGAAGCGCAAGCCGTAAGAAAGTGTGTGTGTGTGCCACCTCTCGTTTAGTCCTTGGAATGTCCGCTGGATGGCGTTGCTTCTATATGCGGAATATATGATGAAAAGATGCGAGATGGTGGTACTTGGAGTGTTGACTAGATGGAGGAACGAACACATAGACAGATGCATGGACGGACGCACGGATGACTGCACGGATGGATGGACGCATGGACGTACGCAGGGGCGGATGCATGGACGAACGCAGGGATGGACGCACGAACAGACGCACGCACGGACGGGTGGATGGACGCATGGACGGTCACACAGACGGACGCATGGACGGACGGAAGCAAGAACGAATGGACGGACGGATGCTTCGCCCCACTCTCCATCATTCACCCCGTGGATATGCTGCCATTTGTTTTTTTCGTTTCGAACGACGCTTGCAAACGCAGCAAGAAAGCTGGTCTGAAAGATGTCCCATGCTGCCATGGTAAATTAACTGTTCTCGAACCAGGTCTTTACTGCGTCCTCAAGGTAGCAATACACATCGCAGCTTGTCCTCGGAGCTGCAGTCGTTAAATGCCGAGACCCTCTCGAATATCTTTAGCCAGGTTACGGGACCCTGACTTGGTGATTCATAGAAGGTCGGTGGCTCTCTGGGGGGCTGCATCACGATCGCAGGCTATGGCACAGCGATCGCAGGTTGTGGCCCAACGTTGCCGCAGCCGAGCTGATGGCCATGGTCTCCTGGCTCTAGTCGAGTAGAAGCTTGTATTTCGGTGGTAGACTTTGCTGCCAGCAGCTAGCTCGCTGCTCAGCGTTGGTGTCCATGAAGGTGTGGGCTTGGCTCACGACTGGAGGGGGAGTTCAGTACGTGGGCAGGGAAGCACCTCCACCAGATGTCGTGGGTCGTCGTGACGCTGACAAAAGGATAAGACTGGATGTTCAGGTTAAACCGTTCATTGGGTCGAACTTGTGGCCTCGTAAAAGGAAAGTCAGATTAGTGCAAGACACTGGCACCAATAGCGGCGAATACAGCGTCGGCCGTCGATCAACTGATTAAGCGGGGAAGCGCGTCGGCATTTATACACGTGGTGTTGAATATTCTAGCATTATCGCTAGCGGCCACTTAGGTTCCGGAATGATCTGTAATGTTCGCAAAGTGGGCGTAATATGAACAAAACGATTTGCTACAGTACCAAAGCTTCTCGACCAGCGCGGTTTGCGCTGAGACAGCGTAACAGGGTGATACGAAAACTTGAGGAAGGAATGTGGCAATATTTCGTAACATTTTAGTGATAGGGTCACCATAACTTTATCAGAAGCCCAGAGCTAATATAGTAACATCTGGGGTTTAACGTCCCAAAACAACCATATGATTAAGAGAGACACCGTACAGTGGAGGGCTCCGGATATTTCGACCACCTGGGGTTCCTTAGCGTGCACCCAAATCTGAGCACGCGGCCCTACAGCATTTTCGCCTCCACCGAAAAATGCAGCAGCCGCAGGCGGGATTTGAATTTGCGACCTTCGGGTAAGCAATCGAGTGCCATAACCACTCGACCATCGCGGCGGGGCTGGCAGCCCAGAGCTCACCACTGTCCTCTATGATCACGTGACAACTGGCACAGCAACTGCAAAGCTGCCTCCGAGCTCAGCACATCAGGGAGCCTCCCACAAGGGGCCATTCATTTCCCCTTGTCCATAAGAAAGTGGGCACACGTGATAAAACTTAGCTCACCATAGTGACTGCAGCCCCCATGTCTTTAGCGGTGCACCAATTACGCTACGGTGTTACTTTTACACGATCCAAAAACCAGTCATCTGTGCGAGTTGCTAGACGCTTGCGGTAACACGTTGAAATGATGCTATTGCCAATTCATGTTTTGCGGAATAAAAAAAAAAGCGACTAGGCCACGATTTTTTTTTTTTTCACCTGAAGCGTTCATACGACCAAGTTTCAGTCGCAAATGGCCGCTTAGGTCAAAATCGACACCTTTGGCTTAGTCGCGAGCTCGCTTTCGCAATTCCCTGAACCATTTCAAATGCGCAGGTACATAACATACGTCAGCTTACTTCACGAGAGCACCGCAGTGTGAGCAGACGTGAATTGAATGTAGTGACGGGGACCACGATATGTGGCTATTCTATGTTTGTAAACAGTGGTTGACGCCACCGACATGCCGAGACGCTTGTATACATACGTCGCGGAGCGTAGGCTCTGCCAACGCCAGAGATCGCCACCACCCTTTGGGATCACGTGACAACTGGAACAGCAACTGCAAAGCTGCCTCCGAGCACAGCGCGTCGGGGAGCTTCCTGCATCACTCGGTCATCCGTTTCTGGCGTCACGTGATCCAACTTAGCTCGCCAGAGTGCAGCGCCCGTGTCTCTAGTGGTGCACCGCGCCTCGTATGTGTGTAACCTACTAATCACAATAAGTAAAAACAAACACAGAACTAACCAAATGGAAGCAGAAAAAAAAAACTAGAGACTCCGCTTTGGCAACATTTTTATTGGGAAATGAGTGGTTGGTTGGCACTAACGATATACTCTTACACGCACACTCAGAGTCACACGCATGTGGCTGTTTATGACGCGGCCACCACGTTCAGCGTACGCGAACATGCGCCTATACGACCTCTGAACTTCGTGCTGTTACTGAGTGCCGCAGGTACTGAACAAAATATGGAGGACTGCGCGCTGACATCAATCATCACAAAGAATAACGTGCAGACAGTATGCCCTTCCTCACGGCGAGCAGTTTCATGCACAACGACCGGCATCGCAGATTCATTTGAAGTTGTTGGACGTCCAGACTTATTATGGTCCAAAAAAATATATATACGTGAACGCGCGCAGTATCTGAAGTAGTGCGTGAACTACCCTAGACGCTCTAAACGACTATTATCAAGCTTTCTGAACACATAAAGTAAAAAGAGAAAAAGAAAACAAGACAGAATTGCTGCGGCACGAAAGCACTCGACTGGAGAACCACTTTTGTGAGGAATTTTGAAAGTCGGCTACGTCAATTCGCAGCCGTTAAACAGAAGCTCAATTCCTGCTCTGACCAGAATCATTTATGCAGTACGTAACAAGGCCTGAACTAAGTACACACTTAGCCCAGATGCCTGTACGCCGCAAGCCTCTGCCATTTTAGGTTTGGTCGAAGTCATTATAGCAAAGGTTATTTTAGCGGACAAAATGATTTCATGCGCCTTGCTATGTGATACGCGATACAAGTAGCACATTACCTTTAGCATTCTTTAAAGGCCCTTCATACATACTGAATGCGACGTTGAATTTCTGCTAGCTGCAACACTCAGTAACTTCACGACTCATTGATGCAAAGACGAGAGGCAATATTAAGGTGCCGTATACCAACGTGGCGACAAAAAAAGTGGTGCGCTTTTTCCAGTCCGTTTCATTCACTATAGAGGGCAAGAGTGGTTAGGAAGCGGTGGCTACACCATCGCAGTAGAGTGCATGCATGTGACGAAACCGGCGACATTGCCTTGACACAACACACTGTTTCCGTGCATGAGATACAGTCGGTGAAGTGAATGACGGATGGGCGCGGAGGAGTCTTGTTTGAGCAATGAACACTGGTAAAACAATGAATTCGCGGTCGCTATACAGGTGCACTTCTTTGGCACGGACAGAAAAGTGTGGTCAGGAGGACTAGTACTCTTTCATACTCGGTTTTTGATATGTGCTCTGTAAATAACCGCTTTCACGAAACCTTCATCGGTAACAAACTTCGCGACTCTCGCACCGACGCCGCTGGTGGCAACCCAGATGCGTTAGGAGGAGGCTGGAGACTGGCGATTCCAGAGCGGTCTACGTAAACACGTATACGCTCTTCATCGAATTTCGTCTCCAGTTAAGTGCCAGCATAAATTTTCTTTTTTAGCCGAATGCCGCTGCTAAGCTGCTGCTGCCTGAATCACCGCAACTACGCTGCCGCGATCGAAACGATTGCAAAGAAAAAAAAAATGTTGCACAAGAAGGGATGGCTACAGTTTTTGGGATTTGCATGATCGATGAATTTTAGTTCCCCCCACTCGAAGAATGTAAATCGAGAGAAAATTCATGCAGGCTATAAATTACCTTCAACGCTTTAGCGTGCCGATTTCCTTTCAGCGGAAGTGACTGCGTATTCGCTTAATAAGGCTCTTCACTCAGTATCTCACTTTCTGAAGGATGACGCAAGAATGACCGTGCCGTCAAAAAACTGCTGCCGGATCGCTGCAGGTACGTTCGTATTTTACTTATCATGGGCATGTTCATTTACCTTCACGTGACGTCATTTTGACGTGCACCGATAGAAAAGATTGGTTATAAACCAGAAAAAAAATCTGCGATAAGTGGAAAGCGATAGCGTAACCATACCACGTTCTTACTTTCTCATTCGCCTGTCACGATTTGCTTCTCCGAGGGCCCCTCTTATTACTCTTTACCAAAACCCTAAGCGAGAGGACCGAGAGGCGGTCCTGCTCGGCTGCTCAAACCTCGAGGCCCAGCAGGCCTTGGCCGAGAGAGCCCGGACGACGGCTTCAACCAACGGGGTCCTGGAATAGACTCCACCTATTGTATAGGGAACTCCTACAGATGTTTTTTTTTAATTAAATGTTTTTCACTACGAACACAAACAGTGCCAACTTCAAGTGCAGTTGCTAAGCACCCTCCACGCCATGTCTCTTAAGATTGCGGTTCAGTGAAGTAACCACTAGGTTTCTGCAAGGAAACGCATAAGCCAACACAGCAGCACAATTCGTTGTGGAGGCTGACGACGATCAGTCATGCCCGGTTTTATCGTATGTCGTTTCTTTGTAATTGAACAACTCTCCTGCGTATGAAGACCTGAACTTGCCTATACTTTGCAGCTAAAGTCCAACTGCCAGGTCCTGCTGCATCAGTGTCGCCACCAGCGCAACGAAGCGTGCGCGTATACAATTAGCGCTGCGCACGCGATGACACCCTGCGGTAGTTTTCCAAGCTCGCTGTGCTCTACGAGCGCGTTCTCCGACGTCTACATATTCTAGCTTACAACTCTACGTAAGGCGTGCTTGGCTTGCTTGAAATTCGCAACAAACCCGAAAATTCTCGGACGTTCATCGCTAGCACTCGTGAGCCTTCTGCCCAACCCTTAATTTCTCGCCCGCATACTGCAACGACAGCGCTAAATGCAATCTCTGAAGCACCTTGCTACCTTTTCTGTCTGTTAATGCCTTGTCGACTAGTCAACATGAAATAATATGGGGCATGAAAATTCCGCGAGTGCAACCACGGATGTAACCAAGGTAACTATTTATATACTGCTGTCTGTACTCCCGTAAGTCTAGTGAAGCGCACATGCTTTGGCGCTCCGTTAGTAAACGCATTGAAAGCGATAATACTTGATAGCTGCCCAGCAGCAAAAACGACACGATTTAGCACGCGCCTGACGCTTCAGACTTCATACGGAGTGGTTTCGTCGCAATGACACCGCTGCCGCAGCTCAGCTATACGTACAAGCATCAATGCTCGCAGAAGCAGGCAAGGAAAAGAAAACATTGCGCAAAGGCAAACGTTTAGGTGAGACACTTTGCAGGCTAGCTGCTTTGTTGACAGAGGCAAACACTTGACACAAGCGGTGCGGCTGGTGCAGGGACTGTTGAGACAAACGTGTACCGTTCTCTTCATTTTTTTTTACACACACCTACCTTTCAGCTAACCGTTATCCCGCATCTGTCCGTCGCCCCACCCTTTTGCTAATGAGAGCTCAGCGAAGCGGCGACAACAAACAGTTTGAGAAAGAAAGCAAACAAAGAAAAAAATTCAAAGTCCCGTCGGGAAGGCCACGCACTCAATCGGGACAAAAAAACTTTCGCGAGCAACGTCATCCGTGTCAACGCTCCGGATCGTTGGGCTTCTTGCGACACCGTTTGTGAGCGCTACGGAACGCCACTCGAGTTGCCGTTTTCACCTCCTACACACACCAGCGCGGTGCACTCCGCTGTTGCCGCGCCACGCACCACGCGCACATGTCGATGCAGCGATTGGCACCGTAGACAATAGTATGGCTTCGCTGGGCGCTTCAGCGACGTCTCGTCCCGTTAATCGCCGAGAGCTTTTTTCCTGCTTCGCCGCGTTCGTCCACACTGTTTGACAGCGTCCTCGAGGCAGCACAGCAGCCTCCCTTCTTCAACGTATTCGTGCGAGTCCTCTCTCCCACATTCACTCGTCGTAACTCCCCTCCCTTGTACCCATAAGAGTGAAGATGATTGAAGCCACTTCTGCGCTTTGGGTGAACTGGTGACGAGCCGTTAGCGATTCCCTTGCTGACAAGACGACGGCTCCTTGTCCTTCCAGTAGATGTAGTTCTTCTCGATGTACTCCATGAGCTCCGGGAACTCGCCGAAGTCTGCGTGCATGCGGAAAGGACAGGCAATGTAAGATAGTTCGAGCGAAACAATTACGGGCAGCTCATGCGTCAGCATTGCGCTTTAAGTGGTCGGTAAATGGTTTACGTTTCTTTTTTTTTTTAATATATATGCAATGGATACATTAAAGCTTTGTTCGACACGGGAACAAAAGCGTCTTTCCTATTCTAATTTATTTGAGTAAGAGAAAAGAGGAAGCCACGGTTTGAATAGCATGACAGATGCTTCTGTGATGAAGCTGCTTCTAAAAGAATCAAATGCAGCAGAAGCTCGTTCAACCGAACTCTGCGGGGACTATCAAATTGTTCCAATTAAGCGGAGTTCGAATTAGGGGGCGGGCGCCACACTGCGATGCAGAACCCAAAGAAGCCCGACTCGTTATCGCGAACTAGGCGCCATTTTCCTTTGTGGCAGCTGATATCATAAGGTTCACGGAGCTTTTAACAGCGAACATAATTATTCATGAGTCAGCGATAGGGCAGAAATAAACACTGACGTACATTCATGTGAGCAACGAGTCTTAATGCCAAAATGTATGATGCTATTTATGCTCCAAAACACGTTTATTTAAATGGTAGAGTCAACGCAATCCAAATTAAATGTAATCGGGGTCTCTTCTGGGTGTTTTCAGGACCAGAATAAGGTTAATTCGATAACTTGCGTTTCTTCCGTCACGACCCGATGAGCATCGCTTGTAGCTTACCCGGGAGCATTGCAGCTTCCTAAATCTCATCTGCTGAGAAATGCAGCAGTCTTGTTTTGCATCTCTAGTAAATTTAGTTTTATTTAGTTTTGAAACATATTGTGATCACTCTGGGCCGACTTCAGCGTGGAGCGACGGAAATCGGGGGCTCCCAGTTCGAATTAACCGTCGTATAGATAGATACCGGCGTGCTGAAACTATCGGGAGCTTTTCCCCCATGGAAGTACGCAGGGCTGTGCCGGCACCAGGGCGTCAGTTTGAATTATTCGTAAGTTCGAACTTTTCGCAAGTTAAAACTTTTCGCAAGTTAAAACTTTTCGCAAGTTAAAACTTTTCGCAAGTTAAAACTTTTCGCAAGTTAAAACTTTTCGCAAGTTAAAACTTTTCGCAAGTTAAAACTTTTCGCAAGTTCGAACTATCCGTAAGTTTGAATAATTTGTAAGTTTGAATTGACTGTAAGTTCGAATTAACCGAGTTTTTACTGTATAAAAATTTATGCGCAGAAAATGTAGCAGGTGAAAGAAATTGTAAGTTCGAGTTAATGGTAAGTCTGAATTAATAGCAAGTTCGAATTAATTGTAGATTTGAATTAACGAGCTTTTACTGTGTAAACATTTATGTGCAGAAAATGTAGATTCCACGTACAGTGGGAATCGATGGTATGCGAAGCACGAACGAGGAAGGCTGATATGTCACTTTAAAACCAGAACCACGTTACGAGGCGGACGTAAATCATGCCGTACATGAATTCCACGCCATGATTATCATACTTGCGCCTGGCATCTGTATTCGTCGTCCATTCACGTTACGTAATATCAAATATGGCATATGTGAAGCTGGCGAAACAACCGCAAGCGCGCTTTGAGCGTAGCATGTAGTAATGTTTTACATGACACGCATATCATAATTATGTTTGGACGTGTCATTTACGTTCGTCATTCATTTACATCACGTAATATCAAATTTGGTATATGTGAAACTAGCGAAACGACCGCGAGGACACCATGAGCGTGGCGTGTAGTCATGCCTTACACGACATGCGTGCCATGGTTTCCATGTTACGGCCCGTCACTTATATTTTCCATGCAGTCATGTCATACCATACAAGTTTTGCAAAACGTCACGTGAACGAAAACCACCGCAACATCAGCATGGCGATGACATGTAAATCGTGATGACATTCATGCATATATATATATATATATATATATATATATATATATATAGCGGATATGTGAGCGGATAGTGTAACCTACTAGAAGGTTTGATAAAAATATTTCACGATGCGATGCCGGATCCCGCTGTAGTTTCGAAATGCTCATCTGCGTCGCCACCGCGTGCTACCGGGTGGTTGTGCGAGACTCGGAAACTTCTGTTTGCTTTGACTAAAAGAAAAAATGGATTTGCGGTGGGCACGTTAGGCAATATTTCTCATGGCACAGAGTTATTTTTTTTCCCTCTTGGCGGCGATGGTGCATGTCAGGAGATGAAAATTTGTAGCTGGTGCATGGTTAATGAGTAGTAAGTGTATAGTGCGTAGTTATGCCACCGTCCTCCGCCAAGTACGTATTAACGTGGTTTAACTGTACTGGTTTGATGACATAATAGCACGCGCGAAAGTTTATAAAAAAGTAATCTCAGCTGCAGCGGCTGGGCACCGGCCCTGTTTCATTTTCGCTATGTTGTCGTTGCTTGCATCACGGAAGTTGATCGTCCGATTGCAAATCTTGTGGTGACCAAAGTGGTGACTACACGAAATCGCCGTTATTTCTGCAGCCGGGAAGTCAGTCATGCGCCCCGCTTCAGTTCACTGTACTATAACTGTACTCATGCCCGGTCATATCGTTGGCCATATTAATTTTCGAGTGTGCCGCGCAACTGTGGCAAGCTGTGTAAAACGGCCGCGTTTATATTGTAGGAGCACATTTTTACCTATACCTATTTTTGTGGATACACGCATGTTACATGAAAGCTTTAGTTTTGTTTTCATTTCTCCCAAAATCCACGGCTTAGGTGGGCTAAGGTCATAGTCACCATTTCAAAATTACATTTGTTTTAGTCGTGTGACAGCACGCAGGTAAAACAAAATTAGGTCCGCTAAATGTCATTCGTTGTAATCTACATTTAGATTTGCCGTGTGACAGGTTGTATTAGATGACATCGCCAAATTAAAGCAGGTATAGCGTAACGACTTCCGACGATGGGTTCTATTGCTTTGTAATATCTGCGCAATACGACAGGTGGTAGCCGGTGAAAAGAAATAGTACTGGAGTTTGATCGTTGCACTAGCCCGGCCGATTTGAATAACGTGCATCTCATCAATGTGGCTTTATTAAAAGCAACATGTGTACATCCTGCGAAATGAACCCTTTGCGCAGCGGCCTCTCTGGCTCGCCAAGAGCGTCAGTTGCGAGGATGCACCTGGTGTGCGTACAGCCCTATAACCGCATGCACGCGATGTTCTATAGCGACAGTGAAAACGTTGCGACGCGACCGCTGCAACCGCAAGTCGGCGATAACGTGTCATTGCTGCTTGAATGAAAACTATCGTGTGCTTACCCATAAATTGCGAATAGAAGTTTAAAAAATTAGTCGGTGACAACATGCCAAGTTTATTACTGTCTTCTTTGACATAAAAAAAAGCCACAAAAACGTTTCACGGCATTCTTTTTTCGCAATGTTTAGTTTAACCACGACAGGCTCTTTAGAAGCGTACGCTACGGTGGCTACGACACACTTCGCACGACAATTCCGCATTGTAGCGAGCGACCAAATTGTCACAAGCTACCGTCGAGCCATCAAAACAGGCCTTCGACAACAAGATCTAAGACAAGATACGGCCGCCTTTTCACTCTCCGCGTGAGATGAGAATGTAAAAAAGGTAGTCGACACCTAGCATTTCTAGAAGTACGCGCGGATAAGAAGCACCGAAAGAAAATTGCAATCGAAGCGAGGACCAGGGGCGCAGCCAGGTTGCCGGAAATCGCCACGCTGGCTTCCGGGCAACAAGCTATCTTTACTAGTTTTCCAGAAACGCGCGACGCGACAAGCGCGCGTCGACGGATGGGCCTCCGCGACCACAAATCTTGTCGCTCGCCGCTGTCGTTTGGTGGCAGTCGCAAGAAAATCGCGTGCATGCGTTTAGGACTTGCGTCCCATCTTTCTGCGAGAACACCCATCTTTCTGCGGGTACACGAAAGACCCCATCTTTCTGCGGGTAGACGAAATAAATGCCGAGGAGAGTAACTTGCCTGACCAGGCCCTGAACATGTCGCGCACAAAGTAGTTGATGAAGCCCGTCTGCGAGTTTGGGATGCTGCAGGTGGCGCGGTCGAAAGCGGGCATCACCACCGTCAGGCCGAGACGCTTCTCTTCGTCCGTCTGCGCAAAAGACAGTTCCCGAGGAGGAACAACTGCCGGTTACCAGCGCTTCGACTATAACCGTATATGACTTTTCAGCACACGAAGTGCAGCCTATAGATAAAAAAAACAGTTGGTACGACGGATCCACACTAAGAACTTACGGGTTTATAGCACCACTTTGGGAAACGTTCTTAACCAAGTTAAGCAGTTAAAACACATTGACGACTTTGAGCCGTTAAAGAAAGAGGACTGTGCGTCCATTACCACGGAGCCATAAATGTTCCAAATACTCCTAAAAGCAGAAAAAGGGCAGAAGAAGCATGCCAAATTCTTTGAACTGTACCAGATTAAAAAAAAAAAAACACCTTAAGATGAACCTGCACCTGACAACAGTACATTTATAATTGTAAAAAACAGTTTTCAGACCGGACGCGCACGTTCCAAACAGTCCTCATTATGCGTTAACTATGCAGAAAGTAGCGGGCTTGCAGATTGCTGAAATGGCCACATTTTTTTATTATTATTTAGTCTCTAGGGCCCAAGTTCGTGCTTTCCCGTTATACACATTGAGCGCGACCTGCTTGCTAATAAAAGCTGCTTGCGAAAAAAAAAAAACTTGCTTGCCAGATGAATGGCAAGTCGGTTTTTTTTTCTCCTGCTTAATGAACGCAGTGCAGAGCCCGCTTCATAGGTAGCCAAGACATTTTAAAACCACGTTTTCTCTGTCTGACTTTTTGAAAGTTGAAACGATGGTGCATGAGGCGCGTGGGGAGGCACCCGCTTATACTTTGGACATTTATGCTGACACAAGTTTTCTTCACGAAGTCTAAAAAGTAGAATCAATGCTACCAAGACAAACTATCAATCCTGCGACACATTACGTTTCAGTTTATTTTAAGAACCCTCTAAAATTGAAAAAAAAAAACAAAACTGGACAGATAGTACAACACTGTCCCAATACTGAGACTCTCCAAAGCGTGCAGAATCTTTCCAAAAGGCAGCTAGTTGAACGCACCTGGGCGCAGTACTCTTCGGCGATTCGGTGCGCCCACTGAATGCACAGGTTGATGGGCCGAGCTGGGTTTGACACGTCGGAGCACTTGATGAGCATGCGCTTGATGAGGATGATGTTTTCGGCGGAGCGCAATGAGGCGGACTCTCCATGCTCTTGCAAGGGCTGCAAATGCGTAGCGCGATGCCGTTAGAGCTTCGACCATCACACGTCGCCGCAATTATTAAGAAGAATGGTTTAATAAAGTTATATTTTTCTCGAACAGAACGCCCACATTCACGCGAACAAACATGTCACGAAGTCGTACATTTTGGGCTACGCAATATTGCAACAGAGTGCAAGGATGGCAAATCAATTAGAAATATCTGTTGTGAGGCAGCTATTTCTAAATGAGTTAGCAGTGTCTGCTCGATTTTTTTCCCAATTTAAACCACTGCTTTATGAATGGAGATACCTGGAATCACAGCGTAATTATACACACAAGCAGTTTCCATATAGGCGTCAGCGCATGTGCGCTAAAGTATCGGAATCTGAATACAGCTAATGAGAACAGTGCTCGAGCAAAACGGCGGCCTTGCGATGAGCGATAATCTGGTTAATCTACCTTAATTCCACGGGGAGCATAAAAGTTGCTCTTTCATGTACTGCTGCTGGACCAGTTAGTTTAAAACACTGGTGCAGCGGCTCCCCTTTGCCCGGTGGATTTCGAACAAACGCGAACATCCCAAGCGAAACAGAAAGGCGCCTTCTGGGAATTGAATTTCTGGAATATAATTACCGGTCTCCAACTCTCCCAGACTATTTTTTAAGAGGTAAGTACCAGCCTACGCATGGCAAATCGGCAGCAATATCAAGACAGGTGCGATTTTCGTAATTTCAATCAATCAATCAATCAATCAATCAATCAATCAATCAATCAATCAATCAATCAATCAATTTATTTCAGCATAATGATCATAATTTGCGCTTGGTGGACACACTCCAAAAGCATGAAAAGCCCGGACTGCTGGGCGAGTTGGTAATTTATCCCAACTGAGTGCGCGAAAAATTTTGAAGTACAAAAAGCATATCAGGCATGACAACATCTGTACCCCTGGTTTAGGTACATATGCATTTATGCAGGCGTGTAACATCAGTCGAAACGCGCTTCGTCTTGTGAAATAGGTTAGGGAGCCTTCATCTGCACGCGTTTCCGTGCACATGAAGGCTCCCTAAAGTAGATATGAAAAAAGCGCCCTGAGCGAATGCGGATCTTCGGTTAAACAAGCACACCTTTCAACATGTCACTCGTGCAGAGCGGGTCTGCATATTTGTAAGGCCGTGCATGCTCCTGTGCACGTGACGTCACAACTTGCAACGGCTGCAAGGTGTCATGCCGCTTATGTAACAACGCGACAGCGGCAGTACGTGCGAGGTTTTTGCTGTAAGGGCATAAATAAGCTAGTAATGCTAACATTCATCCGTGGACAGCAACAGTATATGAAAAAAAATCGACGACTTAGTTGCAAGAGTGTGGCCAAGTACCTCCGCCTCGAAGCCTTCCTCCTCTTGCATAGGCTTCTGGAACGCGTTGAGGAACTTGGAGAGGTGCTCGAAGTGTTTAGTCATCTCAGTGGCCAGCACCATGTCGATGATTGAGAGGCGTACAGAACGATAAACGTCACGATCAAGCTTGTGGAAGATGTTGACCTTCTCGTCCGACAGGGTCAACTTGAACGCAAACGCAGCGTGGTGACTCTCCAGGACAGAGCTGCGCAGAAACATGCTCTCAATGCCATATGTTTGCTATCGTAACGACTCCGTGCAAGGGATGCGCAACTGGAGGAAAGAAGGTGCTTCAGTAACGGAGAGAGACTGATACTCGCGCACGCACCGATCCATCACCAGAACCAGTCTCATTTTACCGGACGCAGTTTCATCACGGGCACACCCTGTATGACTCACCGCAAGTAGCGGGGATTTTGTGAACCCCACCCGTGGAAAATTTTCAGTGATTTGCGCTGACTTGTTTTTCACAACCACACTGGCTAATCTCTTCGTGGGCAGCACTCGAGCAGGGAATCGCAAGCGGTCTGCTCCTTCTTAGGGCAACAGCGTAGCGTGTCTAGTGAGCCCGCTACGAACTTAACGAGCTCTTGCATATTATCGCGACAAAAATAAAAAAAGAGACACAAAGTGGGGTGAATCCGTATCGCTGAAATAACCACATCCTCTCGACTCTTGAGGTTTCCGCTCCGTCCATGACATGCGCGCTGCAGCTCACGCTAGAGTCTAGACACGACAGCGCAGTGTACGAATTCAGCATCACCGGCAAGCAGGCTTTTTTGCATTCTTAGAGAACTTGATGCGAAGCCGGCTTTACAGCAGTCAAGGAAGACAAATGGCTTTAGTTTGGTGGGACGAAATTCCCTCTCATTGGGTACAATAAGTCAAAAGCAATGTATTACACACGCTTTATATATAGCATCGCTTAAATAAATATCATAACTTGTCTGTGGTAAAACGTCTGCGTCATGGAAAATTTCCACGCGACCCACCGTGCTGGTTCGGGAACTTTATGCTACTAAGCACGATAGCGAGGGTCCAATTACTAGCCACAGTGATTGCAACGCAATGCCGGATGAGAGCCGGACTTGACGCCTCAATATAATGATATCTAGGGCTTCACGCATCAGAACCACGATATTTGTATGAGACACGCCTTAGTGGAGAGCTGCGGAAATTTTGACAATCAGTTGTTCTTTCACGCACACTGTGATCGCACAGTACACGAGCCTCTAGCATTTCGATTCCAACTAAATACGGCCGCCGCGGCTAGAATCGAACCCGTGACCTTGGTCACACTCCGATGTAAGCAAAATGAAAATCGAATGTGTATAATGCTAGTGGGGCCAATTAATTAATGGAGATCAAATGATTGGTGCTTAGTACTACGACGTCCTTTATTGCCCCTTTACGAAAATTTGTGAGGTCATTTAGAAAATGCAAGTCTTAACTTCGTCATCCTAGCTTCCAGGCACAATTGCATAAACGATACGGCAGTTAATTTACGTATTTACGAAGGTTATATTGCGTGTCCTACGGCACCCTGCTCTCAAAACGATGGCGCGCTGGAGAAGGTGGAACAGCCGAGAATGTTAAATAGTAGGCGACGTTTTTTTCTTTAGTTATGCTACGATGAAATGTACCGCAAACAAGGATAAATCATATTATGTTACAGCGCGACAAGAACGATGAAAAAGCTGAAGCACACACACGACGCGACACAGCTCGTGAGTGCTGTATAGCCTTTTTTTTTTTTTTTGCCTCGTTCTTGTTGCACTTCAACATAGTGAACCAATACGAACTAGCTCCGTTCACAGCACTACTAAATCACGTGCACGAACGTCGCGGAGACGGGGGTAGCAGAAGCAAACGAGGGGGTGGGGTGGGGAATAACGTGCTTTCGCGGGGGCGCACTTCACTTAAAAGCCGAGCGATTTATCACGTTTATGGAATCGGTAAATCTGAAGCAGAGAGGACCATAAAATGAGTACACATAGTTTTCTTCACCCCTCGTTAAAAAGGTCGATTAGACTCGGAGTAATGAAAGGGCGCACTCATTTACTCTAGAAATGGCGGAGGGAAAATTTAAACTAGTGAGCTTGTTTGGTACAATTTTTCACAATCGGATACAGCCCACCCTCCCTACCTTTCATTTTTTTTTGTCTGCCGGTGCTCACAGGGCCAAAATTCCGCAGCGTGTGTTTAAAAAATGTTTTTCTAATATCTGCCAAACGGCATCAAACTTAATCCACTTATTCATTCAGATGCGAAATTTCTAAGTAGATCTTTAAAGATGCAGTATAACAGATATATGCAATTATTAAAGCATATTTAAGTATACTTCATACGGAGATTTTTGGCAACCTTGCTCTGTCAAAGATAACAATGACTACTAGAAGAAGATGCCGGTGATGCTATATTTCTCGATAATTACAAAAAATACACAGCAAAATATGTTCACTGATTTGTACGCCCACTAATTTTGCAGTCGAAGTTTACTTAAAAGAATCAGATTAGCATCACCCGCTGTACTAGCTCCATTGCAGTCATGCCACACACTTTATTTTTGTGTTTAAAAAAGCGAAGCTGCCAAAAAGTACGGTAAGAAAAATACTTGAAAAATTCATACATTCTGTTCTAATTTACCTATTCGAATTTACTTAGCAATTTGGAACTTGCCGAAATTACTAAATGGGTTCATTAAATGCATTTTAATTCACCAAACTAATAAGTACTCATTAGACCGACGTCTGCCCTTCAAAGATGTTGCGACTTCAACGCGTCAAATCGCCGTCTGTCTAGGCTGCAGCCTTTGTCGCTATACCGAGTAAGAAAGCGTATACCGGTCGTTGTAGAGGATGGCAAGTTCGTGGTCCGAGTTGCAGAGGAACGCGCTCGACTTTCCGGGGTGGTCGATGTCGTGTACCACGGCCGATATGAGGCAGATCGCCTCGTCCAGCGGATCGAAGATGTCCTGCAGGTATATCCGAATCACACATGAGAAGCGAGAGCATCGACGTGAATACGGACCCTGTCACCGCGGCATCGTCTAAACAGGAGGGGCGACCGCAGGCTCATATATTCCAATAAGCAACGTCTGTTGGCCGAGATGTTGCGTTGAACTGTTACAACTTTTGCGCTCACAAACAGTTCACGCCATGTAAATAAGGTGTTCACATTATGAGCAAGTAGCACTAAAGCTTCATGAATCGTCGGATACTAAAACTACCTACATTTTATAGTAAATACTCCAACTTTTTTTACTGGGAAGCATGATTCCGGGACTACACTGCCTTCTAAGTCACAATACTATAACGAAAAATCCTTTTTCTTTGCAACAATAACGGAGTCCAAGAAAAAAAAATCTCCGAAACAAGTAAGCTTGTTCGTTATTTGAATGAGTTGAATTTTGTTAATACACCAGTACATAACATACAAAACGACGAGTATGGCACGAAAAAACCACGTCCCCGTTAAAAGTTACATGGCAACAATACTCTTCCCCCCCGCCCCCACACACACATACTGGAAAAATGAAATACACCAAGATCGCAGTAAGGTAGATAAGTGGGCGATTTGTAAGCGATGCATGTTGTAAAAGAACCAGTGTGCACAGAACGGAACACAAGAATAGGAGGACACAGTCCGAGTGCTGTCTAACAACTGAATCACTCGTACTGTGCCCTTCTCATTGTCTTGCTCGCGCTAATTTTTTATAACATTGAAAAAAAATATGAGACAAATATCTTTCAAAAGACACGTAAAATGAGAATTTATAAATTTCAGACGGCCAGATGAAGGCGACCAGATGAAGTAAATGGCAGCACCAAAAATGGTACGAGTCTAAATAGTCCCATCGTGATGTTTAGCGAAAGACATTGTAGTTGCAAATGGTTCAATACCTGTGTCGTCATAGAAACATAACTATATGGGCAACAATTTAAACTCGATCATAGCTCAAAACACGTTCATCGTTCAAACGAATCGAGATGAAAAAGAAACATAGTTACGCTTTCTATAAAGATCTCGTAAAGAAAAACGGAACTCATAGTAATGCGCATTGTACATTACTGTAATGTCTGCATGTTTTCTAAAAGAAATTTGTTAATAAAAGAAATAGAGACTTTGTCGCTTGTCAGATATCAAACCGCATTGCGCTGATGATCACTGTTGCTAGGCCACGTGCTTGTGGAAGTACTGGCCTTTAAAACATTCAGAACATCATTCCCGCTCGCATAAATCGGCACACTAATTAGCATATGGTTTGGCTCCGACCACGGACTCTCAGCGAGTCATACACGTAAGACTGACCGTTAAAGCGGCAGCCTAGTATACCTTTTTCCGCAATTTCAGCAGGAAATAGGCGGTGGCCTGCATGACGTCACCGGCGTGAGTGGAGTTGTGGTAGGGGTTGTCCAGATAGTGAGACTCCACCAGCTGCAGCCAGTTGCGTATGGTGGCGTCGTCGCATTCGAGGCTGGTGTGCACGTTGAGTTTCGAGAAGATCGACAGGCCTAGCCAGATGAGAGGCCTGCAAACACACGTTGCCTCGCTTACGTGCCGCTCGGTCAACATCGGTGATTATGACACAGAGCCACCGAAGCTCTGTCACCACCTAATGGGGTACTGACACAGATTCGCGAAGGTGAGCTTACTCTACAATACATATATCACGTATACATGCAGGGCCGGCTCTGCGCATGTATGAAATTCGCTAAATGAAGATATTGTATTTCGACACTAAAGTTGATTTAGCATAGTGTACTCACTGATGTTTACAACAGTATGACATCAAGGGTAAGAGTTCAATTTTTGGTGACCTCACGCACCATGATGGCTAGCTGCGATAGCCTAGGGTACCAAAATATTGAAAATGGCTGGCCACTCGTGCGTGACCAACGGAGCCAAAAACGGAGCCACCGAGGAAACGTCCTGATGTTTTGCGCGAGCGTATAACAAGAAGCTCATACTGTGTTGTGACGTCAGGGGAAAGCAGTAACCGAAACTAGCTCGTGAAAACACATTGCGAGTACTTTTTATAGTGCGTTTACGCTTACCCTTACATTTCGTAGTTTTTTTTTTGAGGTGTTGGTTATTTCATTTGACGCGAGACAAACAAACAAACAAACAAAGAGACAAACAAAAACAACTCCCTAAAATTTTCTTGTCAATACTTAATTAATTGCTGAGGCGAGAAATCGGTAACAAATTTATTGAGGAAAAAAATTCACGACTCCTTAAAATTTCTGAGTGAGTACGCAATTAAGCTTTGAGGCGAGAAACCCGTAACAAATTTATAAGCCGAAACGAATGTAAAACTTATAAATTCAATCTATGGAGAGATAATTTTCGGTTACCACATGCCTTTTAAAGAACGAGACAGCGACACAATGTGAGATGCATTGTTGAACAAGTCAAAGTCAGAGCGAACACTGTTTGACAGGCCTGTGCGCTGGCGTTTTGGTGTTGGAGTTTACTTATTCTCATAACACTGCTATGATAGCTTGGCGTAAAGTAAGAACACACGCCAAAGAATTAACGATAGAAAATGTTTGAGCGTATACAAATTTCGCGCAAATGTACCGTAGTTATTAACCGTTTCTTTATTTTTCATCACGAAGATTAGAGAGGTTGGGAGAAACAGCCGAGAAGCAGCTCGACTAGCTATAGCTACGACCTCCAATAAATACACTTTTGCGAATGTACAGCAAACTAAAATGCACACAATCAAAAACCGACTGTTACAGCGCATGAGACGAACAGCACTACCATCGCAAAAGAAAAAAGAATGAAAAAATATTACCAAAAACAGCTAAACACATTCCCACTAGAAAACACACACACAACCAACGTTAAAATGCAAGACAGGCCAGTCCTCATGATCGTGTTGACTATTTGACGGGTGGGGTGGTGCATTCAACGTTTATGGCCTTATAAATTCGAGTCACTATCTACAAAGATCAGAAAAAAAAATCCACAAGATATTGACAGCGCGTAAATTAACGAAGAACAAGCGAAGGGATATATACAAGCACCGACTTCCAATTCAATATTCCGGAAAACAAACAGAAGTGAACTGGGCAGTTGCGAAAAAAAAAAAAACAGTCGCGAAAAGAAAGTCACTATCCAGGAGATATTCGTGCGAAAAACAGATAACTAAGTTCCTTAGGTGCTAAGTTCCTTAGGTGGGCGTCACCTCAACGAGAGATCTTGGCCACCCCAACAGTATCTCTCGTCAACTCATTTGCACCCCGAGAAGAACACGCACGCTAATTGTAGTACACGCGGTACACCCGCAGCCCTTACAATATGCACTTAAATGCTCGGTTCTGACCGTCTGAACAATTACAAAGAGGCTCTAGCAGCTGCACATTAATGCACCTTGATGCTCGCCCGACATACTTTTCTCCACGTGTTTACGAAGTAATACTACATTGTCAGAACAAGATACGAAAAATTTTCACTCCCCAAATCTTCACGCTAATAAGAAAATATTTGTTTAAGAGCACAAGATGGCGGCGCCAAAGTAAATTGATGCGAAATCGTCCGTACGCACCGTCGTCCCGTGAGTGTCTCCAGCTCGATGATGTCGAACTCCCACTTGACGTCGTTCTCCAGCAAGTCCTTGATCTTGGAAGGCGCCGTCTGAAGGCTGGGGAGCACGCCGGTCGAAGCCGTTGCGTTCACAACGTTCACTGCACGCGTGTGCATCGGCCGATCGCATGAGCGCAAAGTTCGTCCCGATGACGCCTCGCACTTACCTTTCATCAGCGAAGTCTCGTGAGACAGCCGTCGCACGCCCGTTGGTTTCTGGCCCGTCTGCGAGCGAGGAACACCAAATCACAGCCAGGCGTGCCTGATGCACTGAACTGCTTCGTTTTCTTAACTCACTTACACGAAAAATTGAAGTACAAAACGAAGACACCTGGACACAGCGCACACTAACTGAAACTTTATTGAAAAAAAAAACAGACTTATATAAGTGGTTACGCAAACACGTGCAGTGAAAAAACAAATGATAAAAGGAGCACACAGATTGTATTGATGATGCGCTTTCAGAAAAGCTACCTCAGCGGCAAGTAACACAGCCGAGGGTTTCGCGACACATGAATTACCAGCTTTGTTGATGAAATACGCCTCTTCGAGTTCCCGTGCTACCTTGTACTTGAATCAAGCTTTCAATACCGTATCACCGAACGAGGGTGCGCAGCCGCATTCACTATAATGCAATGATAGGTTTAAGCACTGTTGTCCCTTTAGAGAAGCTTTGTGATACATAACTTTATTATTAATACAACGCCCCCCTTCTGCCCATAATAATGTTTCCCACATGACAGCGGAGTGTCGCACACCTCAGCGACGGCGCAGTCGACCCCAGCGACCGCCGCGCAGTTCTACAATCGTGCGTAAATGTGCTCAAGAAGATATTCGGGCGGGATTACAGTTCATCTTTGAGCTGCCTAAATACAAGTGCATTCAATTTTTGGTTCTAAAGGTGTTCTTCAATGGGTGTCAAACATGTTGGAGGTATGCTCCAAGAAGTGAGAAGCTTGTCCTTGATTTTCATTCCGGGCACTCTGAAGTTGTAAAAAAAGGCTGTTGCAACGACATGTTTGAAGGCCACGCTCAAGAAGTTTTATACCCGCACAAATTGGGGAGAGCCTTGGAAAGCGAATTGACAGGCTCACGCTGTCCAGATTTCGCGAGGACCATTTGGCTAGGCTGGCTTAAAGGGTTCTGAAGGACGTTCTGCAGGAGCTTGACGGGACTGCCGGTTGTCAGCATCCCGTACCTACATGGTGTCTCACACAATTTTAAAAAAGTCGGAGCAAGATACGGGTGCAATGTTTTCTTTTCGGCTGGCAACCATTTGGACAGCAATTGCGCGGCTGTTGCGAGGAAACTCGAGCGTGAGCAACAAGGCATTCGCCAGGTCAAGCACAGGGCCAAATAGGTCGACTGCGCCGTTGCTGTGGTGAACGACATTCCACTGTCATGTGGGAAGCATTATTATGGACAAAGGGGGCGTTGTAATAACAATGGAATTATGGATCACAGAGCTTCCCTAAAGGGACAACCATGCTATAACCTATCATTGCATTCTAATGCGGCTCGATCCGCACCCACTCGTTTGGTGACACGGTAGTCAAAGCTAGATTCAAGGACAAGGTAGCGCGGGAAATCGAACAGCCGAATTTCATCACCAAAGCTGGCGATTCATGTGTCGCGATACCCTCCGTTGCGTTGCTTGCCGCTGAGGTAGCTTTTCTGGAAGCGCATCATTAATACAATCTGTTTACTTATTTAATCATTTCTTTCACTGCACTTGTTCTCGTAACTGCATATTTAACTTTTTTGTCAAAAAAAGTTTCGGTTGTTAGTGTGCCCTTTACCCAGGTGTCTTCCTTTTGTACTTCAATTTCTCGCGCAACTCAGTTAAGATGAATCACCAAGTAGCTCAGCAGTCCGTGCTTCTCAAAGCTTAGTTTCTCTTGTTCTTTCTCATTCAGTGATTGTAGTATGCACTGGATGACAGCTACCTTTTATTTGCCATTAAATTTTTCTTGATAGCGTTTTCAATGAAATAGCATCACATTGAAACCGCATTTCGAGCAAAATTTCAGTTTCTCTGGCGTACACACATGCGCATAGTAGATAAGCTAAGCGTTCACAGCTGGGTAAGTTCGTTCTGGTTAATACAGTGAAACGTTCTACTGGCGAAAAAATACAAGGGCAGGATAAAAAGACACAAAAAGCTAGTGTGGCTGGTGTTGTGTGTTTTCCTATCCTGTCTTTGTTCCGGTTCGCCACTACAATGTTTTGCTGTAGATAAGCTATGACTAGAAACCAACATTGGGTCGCACATCCTGGTGACTTTACTTGTATTCGTACATACATCTAAACACTATGCAGGCATGCTATTGCAACCTACTGTATTGTGACGCAATATCCCAAAAGTTCACTGCTTCGCAATTTTAGTTTTCGTGCTATTGTACTGTGAACTAAAACAAAGGTAGCCTCTAATAACTAAAGGGCCTCTCAACGAGCCACACAGGAAATTGTAGTTATGCACTGGAAGCCGTTACATGCTCAAATGAGAGTGTTCTATCGCAATATATATATATATATATATATATATATATATATATATATATATATATATATATATATATATATATATATATATATATCAGCTTCACACAGTTGCCCTCTCTAGTTTTCGCGAGCCAAATTTATTTCCTGCCTTCTCCCGTATTGGAGGCGGAAGATCACGCAGAGCACGTCTCGATGCATGTGCGTGACGCGCATTCTAATTTTTTCTCTGGAGCTGATGCTGCCCGGCGCAGCGCCGCAACATTTTTACCTATTCAACTTTGCAGCTCTGCCTAAGTTCGGTTAGGCGATATTCCAGCACAATGAAGCGAGCGAGCGCCTAGCTACGTGGTATGCGTCACAGGCCAACGCCTCCACTGCGCAAGTGAAATCCCTGCGTCGCGGTGGCAGGTGCTTGTTATGGCAAGCGCGAAGCTGTGAAAATTATCTTTAGAAGAGTTGACAATATCTAGGAAAGGTCACTCATGTGTCCTAACTCATTCCCTCATCCTGGTTCGCGGTGCCCAGGAAAAGGGAAAGCGGCTTTTGATTTGAAATGTGAGCTCCATCCACCGCCGCACGCAGTAAAGCGCTGTAAATTTTGGCATCGTGAGGTAAATTATTAACGGAAATGACCAGACTTGGTGTCTGGTCGTTTCCACTAATAATTTAGCTTATCCGTAACTTATAGCACCAGAGTTTTCATAGTGTTGCCTGACTGTAGAATTGTGTTTCGCATTGTATGAGGCTTGAAAACCTGAACTAAAATCTAAGAGGTTTCTAGGACAATTCGCTATACCTGATAGGATAACTTATATAGTTGATACTCAGACTATAGCGTCACGGATGTGGCTGTGAACACGGGTACTTATCGATCAGTAAACGTCGACCCGCGGATATCTTGCACCACCAGAGTACATAATGTCGTGCCGCTGAAGAACGTTAGACCTAACGTACAGGTAACCGGAAAACGCTGCATATGACAGTAATCGTAAGCCGAAAACCTAGGCGTTATTTAAAGAGAAGCGCACATCGCTGGCTGGCATAGCTCCCTTGCGGCTGCAGCGTATGCGCGCGCTGTGGTCAACCTACGACATCATTTTATACTGGACGTCTATAAACTCTGAGAAAGTGTCACGAGTAGGCAACGCACGTTGATTAGTCCGGTGACCAGGTCCGATGTCATCTGGTCCTCGGACTTGCCCTGGCCGACCCCTAGCTGAGGATTGTAGAGTTCTGTGGAGCGAAGTATTTCGATGACGCGGTCCAGTGCCTGAGCCACCATGGCCGAACTGTTCTCTTGCGTCGACACCAGCATGTTGATGACCTGCGCCACGGATAGAAGGTCATCAAAAAAAAAAAATGACGCAAAACGTACTGTCTTGCCAGATTTGTTTGCCACTGTAAGCTGTCCACGAATTAGCCTGCGATTCCGCAGCATAAGACGACCGTACGGTAAATGCTTACCTGGTTGAATGCGTAGCTGAACGAGAAAATATGTTTTTTGTTGATAACGACAGCGACAAAAAACCACTGTCAGGGTTTTGTGCGCATCAAAATTTATACACGAAACGACCGAGGCAGCCTTGATAGCAGATGTGGCGACGCTTTCAGTCGTTTGCGTTGAAACCTTGATATCACTGGTGAAAAATGTCGCTGAATTAATACCCATCCCTCATGTAATACCCCAGCTGGGGACTTGGAGGTATTTAAAATAAATAAATAAATAAATAAATAAATATCTCTTTCACGCGCAACACCGCAACACGTGGACGCATCAAGTTTTTGCCAGCTCTTTAAACTATAACGTCATAGATGAAATGATAGATTGAGCGTATATGATGGCGGGATTTGACTTTCTTCACAATCATTCATTAACCTCAATGTGCTGCGTAAGACTGCAGCTGACCACTCCTGTGATTGCTCCACAATGTTTGAAGGCTCGGTCGGCATACCACGTTCCAAGAACAACGTCAAAGGTACGACTTTCTTTGCTCTGAATGAATACATACAACCAAAATGAATTGTCAATTCATTCTGAACCTGTAATTTTATCGTTTCTATGTAAAAAAAACAATGGCACATGACTAACTGTAACAAGTTTTTTAACCGGGCCAGTTGGTTATGATCCATGATAGCTCACAGCACGAATATCAACACACGAAATATTCGTGTGTTGATAGCTCAACACACGAATACAAGCGATTGTCTTCGTGTGTGTCCCTTCTGCTCGTCAGAGTGCGCTGTAAGCTATCACAGAACTAACTGCCCAACTGAATCTTTCATAACTCAATAATTTGTAACACTGATGAAATCACAAAACAACACTTTTACCTTATTATCTTTCTCAGAATGTTTTACCAAGTGCATTACATTTATGTTGCGTGAATTTGACGCACTTACGGACAAGTCGATCATAATTTGCACCACAAGGGGACACTTTTTTGCTCTCAAAGCCTGCTCTTTTGCTCGATCACAGGGTATCTTAAGGCATTCGCTTTGGATCACTGGAAGGCGACATCAATCTTCTTTTCATGGTGAGTCGATGTGTCGATCCTGCCCCGCCGCCCTCTGAAAGTCGCCTGCACCTATATAACGTGCTTTAACACAGCCTCCAAGATCGGAGGCAGCTCGGCTGAAAAAGGGTCTCCGTGATCGCGGCCCACTTTCGAGCTATACAGAATGTCATGTGATCAGGCCACAACTTCTGGCTGTGATGTCAAAATGACGTCATGTGGCGACGTTCATCACGTGACGACCACTTCTTTAAATGAAAGTGCAGTAGCTCAAGGAAAGACCCGACGGGCATCAGGCGCGCGTTGCAAAACGTCACATCGCCGTTATCTTCTGTGAATACAGAAATCACAATCAAACTTCGAGAGAGATAGACAGAGATAGTGGGGCCATTTTACATCGACAAGCAAAAAAGAAAAAGGGGTAGCCACACCTCGGTTCTCTTGCTTGAGAAAGAAATTGCGCTCTTATCGTCTGATCATTAGAGCATCTGTTCGCAAGTTGTGCCATGTGCACTGTAAACGTTATTTTTTTTTTGCCGGATCACGCCAATCTGAAGGTCATTAAGATGATTTCTTGAATCACTTGCGTTGACATCGCGTATATACGCGGGACGCCAGTCCAATTTGAAGAATCTAAGGCTTTCTCCTTAAAATTGCCACCGTAATAGTCCACGCTCCGGCTGCGTTCGTAATTGCAAGTCATCGAATAGGTTTCTTGGGTTGATATCATGTCTCAGCGCCGTACGCAGTTTAAGTCTAGAAAAAAATTGCAGATATTACGTGTCGACATAATTCTTAGGTAAGTTGTGGAATGGAAATCTTGAGATTGACTTCGTCCCCAGAAGTCGTTTAACGAGCACCTTAGCCTAAGTATTTGAACTCTCAAATTTCAGCCAACCCCAAATAAGGTGTCCGCACCACCGGTAATCGAATCCGCGGTATTGTGTGCCACGTTGTAGCCCCCAAACAACCACCACTTGAACGACGACAGACAGCGGTTACGTGACTGCAATGCTCAAGCCGCCAACTCCGCGTCGTAATCACCGCTCGGCAAGGTATACGTACGACAGATAGAATTCTGCAGTACACAATCAATATTTATAGATTAAAAACAACTTGTGGGCAGTTATTGTAGTGCCACAACGAGAATCTGAAATCCGACGCTCAAATTATCAGCTACGCTTAACTCCTTGAGATGCTCTGTATACAAATGTGTACAACACTTGTTTTTGCTAGTTGTGCACACTAGTGGCCCATGAAAGCGCAAAATACATTGACCTGCCTGCGCAGTAAATGGGTCTTCATTTATTTTGTTTTGCAGTGTATTATACCATTGAATATAGTGACTTACTTACTTACTTACTTTCTTTCTTTCTTTCTTTCTTTCTTTCTTTCTTTCTTTCTTTCTTTCTTTCTTCTTTCTTTCTTTCTTTCTTTCTTTCTTTCTTTCTTTCTTTCTTTCTTTCTTTCTTTTTTTCTCTCTTTCTTTTTTTCTCTCTTTCTTTCTTTCTTTCTTTCGTTCTTTCCTTCTTTCTTTCTTTCTTTCTTTCTTTCTTTCAATACGTACCGCTTACGGCGAGCAACACAACAAAAGTATAGTTTTCTTTGCTCAAAATGAACGTAGCCGATAACGAATTATCACTATCTCAATAGCATGAGATTAGATTTTATTTATGCAAAACTAGAGTATGAATGACTATAGGACAACTAGATATTTCCCAGGTTTAATTACTATAAAAATAAAAATGAACGTGTCATGACATTACTTTTTTAAACATAATACAGAGTCTCCTGAAACAATGTTGCGTTGATTGAACATATTTACCGATAATTATTCATAGGTGGCGCCTGAATTGGTTAAAAAAAGAACACGACAAAATGAAGAAATGAAGACATAAAAAAAAACATGCGGCAAGGCTCACGTTCCTGATTCGAAATGTGCAACGTCCCCGCGAAGGCGAAAAGCGCTGAAACAACTGCACGCGCTGCGTGCGCGCGGTCTCAGTGGTTCACACGCATTACGACGTTCAAGTAACTCACCTTTGTTATGGGCGCCTCCAGCGTCATCGCATGAAATTTTGCGAATGATTGTCGCCTGTTCATTCCAACTGTTGGAACAAAAAAAGAAAACATCGCGTCAATAGAGCGTGAACATCCATGGGGCATCAAAGGCTGGTCAGTATCCCGACTAATCTATGAAGCTCTATACTAATGGGAATGTTGTCCAAGATGCCGACAAAATGCCGGCTCTCGCTTGTTCACTGATTCGCAAGCGTCTCAACCCTAACAGCAGCGGCAGCAAGAAGCTAATTAGCGAGCAAAGCCAACGCTTCACGGTTGGTTAGTCATCATGCAAACATGCTGGTTAGAATCGCAAGTCGCGTTTCGGTCGGCCTGCGACATGCGACACGCAGGGTAAAGTCTGCCTTCTTTGCTGACAAAGTTTCAGTATATATATATATATATATATATATATATATATATATATAATATATATATATATATATATATATATATATATATATATATATATATATATATATATATATATATATATATATATATATATGTTCATTATAATACATTATATTACAAACAAAGAACGCTTTTCAAGCCGATTCTGTTGACCAAGAAGTGACCAAGAAACAGCTCTGATAGTTAACTTTACCTTTGCTAGCTAAACATTTTCCGATAACTGGTTCGGCAACGCAAGATTTTACGAGAATTCGGGTTTGGATATTGATAACAAAGTGTTCGAACCCTATGTAGAGCTGCAACGTTTCCCTACATGTCAAGCAGGTAAGCGTTCTCAGCAACATTATGAAACGGCTAGAGAGCCGACGCAGAGCTGCCAAGCAGTTGTCGACGCAAAATCCGTTTGGCAAGTGGCAAACCAGCGGCAGTAGCAAGAGCGGCAAAAAAGCGTTGGAACTGTATACTATAGCACAAGGCAGCGACGCTTTAGCGACCGTTACTGGCGCAATGTTATCCCAAACAAGGCCTCCGAGATTGCGGGCGCGTGGCACGCGCCCGCAATCTCGGAGGCCATGTCCCAGTTGCATTCGCTTTGGTTGTCATGCCATCTGCAATTGTACCGCACACGACCGCTTCATATTTCCCGAGAGCTACGGATGGCCTTCAAGTCGATCGGAGCTATAGACACAGTGTTTCGTACTATAATATTTAATAGGATGAAACTCTGTGGCACTGTAGGAAGATAGGCAACCATCTTGAAGGTCATTCATAGCAAAGTTGCTAAGGTCTGTTTACTTGAAACTGGATATATAAAGAAATGTTTCCGGGCGTGACCTGAAAGCTAGACGTTTTTGGCGACAATGTGCAATCATCAATTATTGCATAGGCGTTACGAGGATGTTACGCTGAAGAAGAATGGCGATTCGGGAAATAGCTGAAGCGTATTTTATTAGAAAAAATGGTGACGGATGCGTGAGCCAACCTTCGGTGGCCTTGCATGACAAAGAGTTCGCGCTTTTAGATAAGGGTTAGCCATTTTTGTACCTTCTTTTTATCAGAACATTCCCCAGAATATGTCACGTTGCTCACGTGTGCTGTTCAAAGGTTGCCTGTTGTATATATTATCATGTGTGCTGCGAATAATAAAATTCAGTTGGTAGTCAGCGCTCGTGTTGTCCTCTTTGCCTTCCGTACCTCGACTTTCGTCTGTTTCTTCTAGCACATTCGTGCTCGCGCTGCAACCCTTATTATCATGGATGTTACGCTGTCAGACTGTATAGGTTCTCGACACAACTTGCTCACAAATCATGTTAAAGTAAGCGTTTCTCTCCAGCTAATCTGCACGTGGTGATACCGTCGCTTGATTTATCAGCGCATGTACTCGCGTGGCGCAAATATGCGAATAACAGGCTTGCGATACTTCTACCACTTACATTATCGCACATCAATCGTTTTACTTTTTTGCCTGGCAAGCGTTCTGTAATTGGCCCCAACTAATCAAGTTATTAAGGAGAGTCAACAAGATCGTAATAAGTAGCCCAATAAAAATAAACTTCCGACCCACGGCGTTGACACTATCTGTTTTCAACCTATTTTACAACATGACAGTATCGCCCTGCTTCGAACACTGAATTATGAATAAGTGAGCGCCGACTCTGCAATAAAGTAGCTCGAAAAACGTCAGCGATCGGCTTATACGTGATTCAAAGCGCGAAGCTGCTTTGAATGCCCTGGCTATACGAGCTGTCGGATGTTGTCGACCTGCAATCAGGCATGCTTGGTTTCCAAGCTGGCCCCAGATCACAGCGAGACGGCAGTGCGGGTCTGCAGTCGCACAAGCAAAGCGAAAGCAAATAATGGGAAAAAAAGCAATAATTAAAGCGGCGCAAAGAGAGACACGAGTGTAAAGCGAGCGCCATGAAGCGTAAGCGACTCACCGTCACTGCACAAGGAACGAACATCACAAGATGCCTTTCTAGAGCTTTTCATGCTCGAGTTAAGAGTAAAAGACAGGAAATCTAGAGACGGAGAAAAAAAAAGTGAGAAGTCGCTTTATCAAGAGGCCGACCGTATGTGTAATAGCGGTAAAGGTGAATGAGCGATCTCTTATCCCTATTGCGCGCTCGAACAAGACGGGGTCAGGTAGGCCGGTCACAGTCATTACAGTTAACCTGAAATACTTCGGAGCGGGCTGCCAGCAATCCCGCTAGTTTCCGAAGTGCGTATTATCAAAAGCAGCAGCCCAGTCACGTCTGCCCCCCGATTACTGTACGATGCAAGTGCACTTTGATAGCTTCAAAAAACTGAGCCTGACAGAAACAAAAACAGACTTAGCGTACCATTGAAAAGCCACTTTTTCTTTTTTTAAACTGAGAAGTTAGCTGTCTCACATGACGCCATCGCAGCCACAGAAAAAATGAGAGAGAGAGAAAGGGTCATTTTGTGAACCCACCGGCCATCGCACGTGTTGCCCGTGCGCGCAATAGGAATCTACTGAGCAATTTAGGCATGAAGTTTCATACAAGAAATACTAGAGGGAAGTGTGCACGTTAAACACGTTTGGAATCTCCCACTGACGCGTCATATAGAAATAGCACGTATTCGTATGAGTAACACAACGGATATTTGCCCCACTACGAATCTTTTTTAGCGTTATCGACGTTATTTGTAACTGTAATCAGAGCATCACGTAACACGTAGCATTGCCCTTAAAGCGTTTGCATACCAAAAAAAAAAAAAAGGATTACCAGTTGTCGCAAGCAGTACCTGACTTTTCAATTTTTTTTTCACCAAGTTGCAACAAAACACGATAGCCAACAAGAAATAAGCGGTGTAAACTGCTTCCTTTCTTCCGACGCTTATCCTACAACAATGCTCTGATTAAAGAAAAAAAAAAAGATATGCTGCGGAGCTCGCTTCGCCCCGAACACTTTTTAAATTGGATTTATAGCAGACATCCAAAATATGCACTACGGCGCACTATACGGAAAGGAAGCTTCTCGCATGTTCCAAAGCTCCATTTTTTTTTATTTTCGAAACGTAACACCGGGGGTGGCCGACGTAACAGGTATAACATCATTATATCAAAACGCGTTTAAGCTGTGTGGGTACTGGCGATACATAATTCCCTCGAGCAAATATTGTATGAAACTGCCGAGTCATTTCAAGACGGTAAACTGTCGATGCGTATCACTTCTTCTGGCGAGTGTGCATTCGCCAGAAAAGGCGAAGATGCACAAGCGATACTGTTTACGGTACGAATTCTCGTCTCCGGGCCTGTGTTATCCCAAATGCGTTAACAGCGATTGTTAGATGAATATTTAATATCCGTGGATATTATGTCGCAACCTCGGAGGTGACTCTCGCGGCTAATATGACGTTAGTAAAGGGTCTTGGCTCGACGTGCAACATATCGCGTAAACACGCAAACGACAGAAGAAAGCTTTCGACTATAGAGCACAAAAGTTGTAAACGTAGCCATATACTTGCTTTCAGCTTGTGCACGCAAGCAGTTAGGGTTCAGGAAAAACAATGCTTAAAAGAACACTAAAGTGAAACAATGATTGTGATTAGATTGATAAGTTGTACTTTCAAATTGTAGTTAATTTCCCCAGCGCATGCTTAGTGATAGAGAAAAAAATCAATGTGAAAATTTTCTTATTAAATTTCGCACCAAATTCTCCACAAGTGACACCACGGATTCTAAAGTGCTCTTTATTACTTATGCGACATTGTCCCACTGAAATTTACTGAAACTTGGTTACGTTATATTTGTGGTTCCTCACGAGGACAATGAATTTCATTTTTATCGACTAGGAACTGCGTATAAACGACTTCAAAAGGCATGACGTCCCGGCGGTTGGTGCGTTAACCTCAGGGACACAAATACGTACTTTGCCATCTCAATTTCTTCATTGCGCACATTGTCATTTAATCAAGCGTAATAGCGACAAGGTAGGTGATTTCTGGTATTTACTAATAGTAGAAAAAAGTTATTTAAAGCATTCTTTTTAAGTAAGAGAATTGTGATTCCTGCGTGCGCTAGCCACTTCGTACTTTTTTATCTAAAGCATTCTTTGCTTTTTGAAAGCCGACCGCGAAGGATTGAAGTTGGTGGCTGCTCTGCTGCAGATGGGCTATTTTATGAGCCCGTCTGGCGACAGAAATTTCAGGTTGGCTCCGCTATGGCGGTTTTCTGGTTACATTGAATTTCTGTTATGGAGAATTTGAAGCAATTTTTCTTGATATTTGCGGATAAAATATAGCGTTTTCTAGCTTTTCTATCGCGTTTGTTGATGGGCGCGCCTGCCACGTCCCCTCCCGTTTCACACACACTAGCAGGTTGGGGGAGTCCCAATGTAACCAACGCGCGGCGTGCATATATACACACAAGCAAGAATTTGCTAATTTGATTGCGCGTTGGGAAATGCGTGGCTAGCACGCTGCCGAACATATGTGCTGATGTTACTCGCAAGTTCCCGAAACCGGTGCGCAGGAGATGCTCTCGCGTGAAAGCTGGAGTGAAGTACAGTGATGCTCCGTACTACACCGAAGAATTCCCTCTCAGAGACATAAAATTCCCTATTTTGGGAATTTCCCCCTAGAAACATTGGCAAAATTCCGCAGCGAAATTCCCTGCGCAACAGTACTAATTTCCGCCTCCATCCACGCACACACATACTATAATTACACGTGTCACACGTATGCTGGCGACTTTCGAAATAACGACAAGCCCCTCCAGTGCCACACAACAAAAGCACGGCTTTATTAATTTGTATACTGTTAGTACACTGCACATCGTGGGCTTCAAGCCTAACACCACTAGTGAACCTGAAATCGCTCCGTGTAAATACCAGAAACAAATATCAAAAGCTATGCTTGCGTGGTGCATGTGTCAAAACCAATTACAGCAGATGAAGGCGCACTGCAACCACTAATTATCAGTTGTCAGAAAAGAACTCAACTATTTCTGAAATTCCCTAAATTATCACAAAGATTTCCTTTTTCCATTTGGCTCAAATTGACAGGCGGAAATTCTTCGAAAAAGAGAAAATTCCCTGCACGGAACATCACTGGTAAAGTATACTACGTAAATCAACGACGTAAACTGACTAGTACTCTGCGATTGCTTTCGTGGAGTTGCCCTTGCGTAATACTGTACAGAAAAACAATGGAGTTGTGTCAAACTAATATGCTACAATCATGGAAAGAAACAACGCAGCATTAAGCAGGGTTATAAGCTGCCATTTGTTTGATGCATGAGTGGCTTAATCTCGAGTTCCATGCCCACATGTTTTGCAATAGGCATAAAGCGCGAAAACTGCACATACACATGATTATTGTAAAGATGATTACGCCACTCCTCAGAAAGGCTTGGGGAAAAGCCAACTTTGAGTGAGAAACATTGTCTACTGCGGGGTAACGCCGACCAATTGAAGCAGACACACCCCAACCAGAATTTCACAGCACGGAGCACACTTTTGCAGATTGCATCGGCTCATAAGACAGCGAACAGCGGCACTTGTGATACAGAAAGCAATAGAAGTAATAATTAAAAAGAAAACGTCGAGTGGGACGCCTGAATCATTCGGTAGCAACTACGCGGATTTTTCTTTAAATTTTTTCGTTAAACAGTTGCTATGCAATTTCATATATTATATTGATATCGTAACGGACTGCTTATAATTTTAGACACACCGAATAGGAGACCATCTTCTGTGCTGAAAACAAAAAAAAAAGCTACACAAGGTGCCTGCCTATAACACTCTTTTAAGATAGCGTGGTTGCTAGAAATTAGGAAAAAAGTGCGCGTGAACTATTTTAGAGATTCTTTTTTTTTAAATCATTGGGGTAATAACACTTGCGGAAACACGTCTCGTAGAGGTATTTAGAACTCTTCCGGTTTTTTGAACTTATAAAACAATCTGCATACATGAAAACATAGCATTATAGACATATAATATCATTTGCCGTAACTGAGTTTACGATTACTTCGTCCTGTTAAGAACCAGAAATGAAGCAGCCGTCCTCGCTTTGGTCAAAGTTTGGTGTCCACAGCATAATGTTGCCAAGAAGAAATCAAATGAGCAAGACGATGATGACAACAAAATATATAATTCAAAGGCAGAAAATACAAGATGAAATGGTACTATAAAGGCCAAATGATCTCACTGGCGAAAAAAAAAATCCACGCTGTATAAGCGAGTATTCCCAATAAAAGTGTTAAAAAAATGAAGCGGACAAGCAAATATATGTGACCGTGAAATCGCCACCGATTAACAGTTAATGTCATTACGTACACCAAAATGGCAGCCCGTTCACGTTTTGCTCATAAGGCCTACGAGATGTCGGTCCTCAACGCGTGTTGCTGTATATACTGTGTAATATACTGCCTACATGTCTAATACAATAACTCTATATACGCGCTTCTTTGTGCTCCTACATCAAATATAGCCAGCTCCCCCTCCAGAGGACGCACTGGTATATGGCAAACGAGCTTAACTTAAAGTCCAGGTACGGATCTTATCATACTTATTCGAATGTAAACCACCAGTTTGTAATTTTACCAGTTTCTAAGTTTATTCGAATGTAAACCACCACGTCGACATGGTTATGGTGGTTAGGTTTGGTCCCAAACACTAAGAACCGCCGGCCAAAAATATGTCTAACACCACAAAATGGGGGGGGGGGGGGAGAAAGCGAAGCAACGATGGAGACCACACATGCACATGGGGACAATTCCTGACATATACATCGACTCAATAGGAGGGGGGGGGGGGAGGCTAGGCACGAAACGTGCATTTTAAACATGTAAGGATTCTCCATAACCAGGTGGCGCACCACATCATATTTCAGCCATACATCGATCTTCGACCTAACATGATTTATTTAAACTAGATATAAATTTATTAAAAAACCAAGAAAACTGATCTTTAAATTTTGGAAATGAGCCATACAGTACAAAGCATGCACTAAAGCGTTAAGAAATAAGCAACTCACCAGCGTCGGGCGAGAAGGGCTTTTCCAAGAAGAAAGGGCACTCCTTAATGTATACCACGTGATCCGACCTCCTGCAATAGGAGCAAGACACGCAGTCTGAGCAGGAGCAGCGACGCAGTCGAGTGGTCAGCGCGTTACCCAGTGTGAATTTCGACGGGGGCGATCTTGCTCCACATGGGGATGCACTCTCCGGACTTCCGCTTGTGGAACAAGGTGCCCTCCCACTCCTTTCCTTTCTTGAGCTGCGTGCAGATGGTGGAGGCCACCTCGGTCTTCAGCGAGTCCGTGCGGTGAAGCTCCTGGGCGTCCACGCCCAGCATCTCCTCCACAGAGTAGCCCACCAGCTTCTCGGCAGCCCGGTTCATGTACTGCGCGCGGCGACAGAAGTGCGCGACTGCAGACGGCACAGCGAGCGAAATTGAAGCAGAAACAGACAATACGGATAGCATCCACTGAACGACCGGGAGGATGGAGAGTGATTTTAAACAAAAAAAAAAGAGAAAAGTGAGCCCCGTAACTGTCTCTCGGGGGGAGGACACCTCCACAGTAGCTCACGAGCGATGGGGGTAAGGAGGTATTAAAATAATATGATTAAAAGGTAAAGAGACAGAGAGACAGGAAGGAGAGAGCGAGGCGCAGGGACAGCGAACGACGGAAGTAAGGAGAAGATAGGAAAGATGGACACGGTCGCAGGAGTCCGAGGACGGGGCACCAGTCGGCGAGAGCTCTTGTCGGCGTCAGGAGGTGGCGAGGCCGAGCCCTGTCGGCCAGAGCTGCGCTGTCGTCGGAGATCGCGGGGGCACAACCGGTCGGCACGAAATCCAGCGAACAAGTATTGCCGAGCTTCACATTAGTGCGAGCGGGCATACGTATTGCTAGGAGGGTACGGCTGTAGCGAAAGTTTGCATGTCTGTGGCACGTCCGCTTCAAAGGCTGCGAGACTGTGCCAATAAGCGCGCACCCTGGATTGCCGTTGTGAACCGGGCGACTGGTGAATCCAGCGTGCCATAAAGTTTTCTACTCTATTTACTTGGGCGCATAGAGTTTCCTAATATAGGCTAGAGGGAACTCTGGCGCTAGTGTTTGTAGGAGCTGCAACGCACGGCGCTTCAGTGGCCTGCTTCTGGCTCCATGTGTGTTCGTGTGGCTTGGAGCTGTTTTCTCACAGAACAAAAATCAGCAAATGTTCAGCGGTTGCGCTTCACCACCTTATTTTTTTAGGCTTACCATTTCGAATCAAGTCACAAAGCTCAAAAGGGTTCGTTCTTTCCTTCAAAACGAAACCGTAACCAGCATTAAACGAAGCTGCAAGTACGATTCGCCGCCCGCAAATACGAAGACTATAGGCAAATCTGTGTACTACCCAGCATTCCCTGGTAGCTGAACGATCGCAGCGCCAGAGTCCCTCTCGTTAATTGTAGGAAACTCTATGCTTGAACGACCTGTGACAATCGGGAAGGCCCATGTTCACCCCACTTTACCACTTTCAGAAGACGACAACACCTCGCTTGACCAAGAGCACTGTGGGAAGAAAGTGTGAGAAATAAAAATACGCGTTTGTAAAATCTTCAGAGTGTATGACCGAGGCGCAGCCGATAGCATGGCTGTCATATGTTCTCGCGACCGAGAGGTCGTGGGTTCAACTCTTATTCAAGTAACTTTTATGTTTATCATCTGATCGTGTACATTTTTTCAACGTCACTTCCGTGACGGAAACCCGTCCCTGAAGTCTTGGTGAAAACCAGGCATATAACACTTTCGCGTTAGAAATGAGAGCGCGCCCACCTGAATTTCGTGCGCGGCACCGGTGACGATGACGCCGTCCCGTGCATAGTGCAGAGCAGAGAAGAGTGCCTCGGAGGACCTGAGCTTCCACAGGCTGATCAGGTCATTGTGCTCGATCTGGATCATCTCGTTCAGGCACATGCCAAGAGAGCACGTCTCCGTGAACCACTGCGGAAGGAAGACAAGAATCGGCCGCCGTCCGATGCTGTATGCCTGACTTGTCAACGACACTCCAAAGTGTGAAGGACACCCAGACACGCTTTCGCGAACAGCGGGACCTTTACTATAGCAGTAATCATTAATTACACTATTAAGGGCAAATCAAGGTCATACTGCGCGTTCAACGCAGCCCCCAAAGCTTCGTATAACGTGATCGTATACCTTCCAGGCAGGCACTGTCATGCTTCAAGCGGGTCTTGCCGTCGGTTTATTCATACTGCGCCTATTATTTACCAGTAATAATGTAGTGTTCCTACTTAAAATAACGGAACAGCATTAAAGCTTCAGTATGGAACTGGCGTCCATCTTAATCTGCTTTATTTTTCACTTCATCCTCCTCTTCTCTCCTGCCCCGGCCCTCGCGCTTCTTCATCTTCTGTCCAAAGGCTCATACCGCTTCACCCTTCCCGCTTTCTTTTAATTACCCCTCCTGGGGTAATACTTGAAGACATTCCCAATTGAGGCACATTCAACAGATCCACGTTCACCAGTGTACCAGACAGTCTTCAAAATTCCGTTCTGGGTGGCTGTCTTGGTCACAGAGTAAGGCCCATAAAATTTGGCACTGGAATCTCTTATTCCTTTTCTCACTAGTACGAGGTCGGTGACTTGAATGTCTGGCATGTCTGCTCGATGCCTCTTGTCGAAATTCTTTTTCATTCGTTTTCGGTACCTCTCCTCCTGTGATTTTTGTTGCCTCTCCTCGACAATCTTGAGGTTTTCCAAGAGTCCCAACTCACGGTCTGCCTGCAGAATAGGGGTCTCTCCTGTAGAAGCGTACTGTGGACTGCACCCCAAGCCACTTGTGTAGGATCGGTTATGATGTTTTACGGCTGCTTCTAAAGAACATTTCCATCCCCCAGGAAAACTATCGTACATCTTGATGTATTGTTTCACGTCCCGTATGGCACGTTCTGCAAGCCCATTCGCCGCAGGATGGTATGGCGCACAGAACTTGATCGATACATTGTGATCTCGAGCCCATCTTACTAGCTTTTCACTCTTGAACGCGGGGCCGTTATCGCATACGATTGTCCGCGTAGTTCTAAACATGTCCCTTTCGAGAAGGGTTATGACGCTATTTGCATCTTCTTTTCCTGCTCGTGCCGCGACCATCCTGGTGCATTCATCTATGGCCAGCAGAAAAGCTTGCGTTTTTCTGACTCCTTCCCGTTTCTTGTTAAGTTCGGCGAAATCCAGGTGAACTACTTCAAAAGGCACGTTCGAGTGGCAAGGTAGTATCATGGTGTCCGTAGGCTGTTTATACTTGACTTTGTGTACTTGACACACATGGCATGAACGAACGTACTGACTAACGTCTTTCTTCATGTGAGGCCACGTAAACCTCTTGACCAACTTGTTGTAGGTACGCCAAAAGCCGTCGTGTCCTCCAGATTCTGGGCTATCGTGGTACAAGTAAAGCACTTTGGAAACAAGAGTTGGTGGGACTTGATACCGACCTTCCGTAAAAACCAGTTGTTCTGAGCCTTCCCACAGCTTCACTTCATTGATTTCTTCAGATTTTTCTGTGTTGTTTTGTACCATCAATCTTGATAGAGCATCTGCATCGGTTAAAAGCGGTCCGGGTCGGTGCGAGATGGTAAAGTCAAATTGCTGCAAGTAATTCACCCATCTGGCGATACGCCCTTTAGTTTGGGTCATATTCAAGAGATGAGTGAGTGCCTGGTGATCAGTGAACAAAGTGAACTTCGTACCTTCCAGGTACGTGCGGAAGTAGTCAACGGCCTTCAGAACCGCCAGTGCTTCTTTTTCCGTAGTAGTGTAGTTTGTTTCAGACGGCTTGAAAGTGTAACTGTAGTAACCGACTACGTGTCGCTTTTCTCGGCCAGATGCTTCAATACATTTTTGATACAACACTGCACCAGTCCCATAATGTGAGGCGTCAGTGTTCAATTCAAAGGGTAAAGTGAAATCTGGTATACGCAGAACGGGGTCAGAAGAAATTCTGTGCACCAAGTCACGGTAGACTCTCTCACATTCGTCACTCCATTCAAAGGGAACTTCTTTCTGCGTTAAGCGCGTGAGGCATCTAGTTTTGACAGCAAAGTCCTTTATGAAAGATCGGAAATGTCCTGCCAATCCCAAAAACACACGCAGTGAATGGACGTCATATGGTTTCTTCAACTGGGAGATCTTCTCGACGGACTCTTGTTTTGTGCTTTTGGTGTTCCCATCGAAGACTCTTCCAAGAAACACCACTTTTTGTTGAAAGAATACACTCTTCTTAAAATTAACCTTGAGATGTGCCAAGCTCAAGGCGTTTAACACCTGAGACAGATGGTCCTGATGCTCAGCCTCTGTTTTGGAGAAGACTATAATGTCGTCTATGTACACATTACAAAAAACACCAAGGAATGGCTTTAGGACGTCGTTCATGATCTTCTGGAACCACGCTGGCGAGTTTTTCCAACCGAAAGGGAGCCGGTTGTATTCGTAGAGATCGAATGGCGTGATAAAAGCGGTGTACATTTTTGTTTCTTCGGTTAGTGGGATCTGCCAGAAACCTTTGCATAAATCGATGCGGGAAAAATGTCGGCAACCCCCGGTCTCATCTATAATTGTGTCGATCTTCGGCATAGGAAATGGTATGAGTTCTGTCTGACGATTGAGAACCCTGTAGTCGGTGCATAATCTGAAGGTTCCGTCTTCTTTCGGTGCGATCGTTATGGGAGAAGCGAAGGGTGATACCGAAGGTCGTATGATATCAGCATCTAGCATCTCCTGCAACTCTTTCTTGAGCCACATCTTTCGCTCCCTTGACATTTTGTAAGGTGCTTTCCGGATGACGGTCTTGTCAGCGAGTTCGAAAGGAACCTTGTGGGACTTCATCGCCTGAGGATAGCTTCCTATGCATACAAGTTCAGGGTAGGTCGTTGCGATATCCTCCGCGCACTTGACAACTCGTAGATTATCTTGTCTACCCTGATTTGTCTCGTTCCTTGCTACTCCTTCTACTAGAACCACATCGTCCCAGTACACGTTGATCTTTAGTTTCTTTATATCTGGTCTTGATAGCAAAAAGTCGTACGTTACCCCCTCTATCACCAACACTTCGCTCTCTATTTGCTGACCCTGGAACTCGATGTTTACCAAGGCCCACTGATCATGCAACGTTACTTTTCCATCATAGCCTTGTACTCGTAGAATTCTTCCACTATGCAAGCGATTTGCATCCACCAGCTTGGCATTTATAATGGACACAGAAGCACCGCTGTCTACCAGAGCCATCATATGTTTGTTTCCTACTTTGACGGGAATGTGAAGTAGGCTAGAGCAACTTAAATAAACAGTCTCATTTGGAGTCATCGGGTGGGACTGATCACCCTCGTTTATTAGTTTTTTTTTTTGTCGAATACTCCTGAGCTTCAGTGTCGATATTATTCACTCGACCTCTTGGAACACGCCAGGGCAAGTTATCTGTGCGAGTTGCGAGGTGGCTCGGTTCTCGCTGAGCGCGGCTTGACCAGTCCGATTTACTCCGACTGAAACAGCTGCTTGACTCGGCGGTTATGCTTGTTTCCGAAGCTGATGGTATGTTCTGAAGACACGCGAGGAGGTCATCTAGAGTCTTTGGTGACAGTATTTGCACTTGCTTCAACACGTTAGTGTGCAATCCATGCATTATTAAGGCAACTACGGCCGTAGATGGAAGCAAAGGCTCCGCCAGCTTTAAAAGACGGCGTTTCTCAAAGAAGTACTCGACAAGGCAGCTTTGCTCAGACTTGAAATTAAGCGCCGTGTTCCATCTTTCTACTGGATTGCTTCGGAATGCAGTCAAAAACTTTTTCCTCCACTGGCTCCAAGAGTCGTCACTGTCTTCCAGAATGCATGTTTCATACCACTTTCGCGCAACACCTCTCAAGTAAACGCGCATGTTGGTGATTTTAGCCTCATCAGAGAGCCACTTGTTTTTTCCAGCGGCATATTCGTAGAAATCAAGCCAACTTTCTGGATTTGAAGACACACCGTCGAAAGCATCAGGTTCTACGAAATTAGGTGTCGGTCTCTCAGCATTCAGAGAGCTTATAAGAGATGTCATTATTTGGTTTTGTTGAATCATCTGTTCCTGTTGCAGCTGAAAAGCTTTCAAAACGAGGCTCACCTCTTCCGTCGAAGATCGTGATCCTGAGTGTTTTCGACGCGCTGGTTCAAGAACTAGGTCGTTGAAGGTCGCCACACGCAAGTTCACTTTCACAGCACCTTTCCGTCGTAGTTCAGTAGTGTCTACGGCTGCCTTTTCCACAACCAGGTTTACGAGTTCTTCCGAGCTGAGCTCACGAGGTAGGTCTACCGCTGCTTCGTCTTGAACTTGGTACTTCGAAAAGATGATCTCCTCGGAGGTCTCGTCTATGAAGAACGTCACCCACATGATGGCTTCGATGGCCGGCTGCGCCAAAATAATGTAGTGTTCCTACTTAAAATAACGGAACAGCATTAAAGCTTCAGTATGGAACTGGCGTCCATCTTAATCTGCTTTATTTTTCACTTCATCCTCCTCTTCTCTCCTGCCCCGGCCCTCGCGCTTCTTCATCTTCTGTCCAAAGGCTCATACCGCTTCAATAATACTGTGCTAAATACACTGTTTACAACTTTGATGATTGAGTTGTAAGCCCTAAATGAGAACAAAAAAGATACGTATGTTGTAAGCACTGCTCAGCAGCATGAGGTGGCGGATTTGTTTGTGAAAACTCCTAGATAGATTTACAGGTACGTCTAGACTTCCAAAGACAGAGTAGGACGAAGGTGGCTTCTTACCTAAATATAGAGTGCTGCTTCTTTAAACAATAGGTGGAGACCCAGGCCCGTAGTCAAAAGAGTGCCCTAGTCTCCCACCCTCACCCACCCAGCCTCACAGTTTCTATGGAGGGGGCGTTTTACCTAACATAAATGATGAAAATAGGTGTTTTTCAAAGCCATCAACCAGTAAG